AACACGGCGGTTTATGTACGGATATGAGTTATGAGAAAATCCACTTTATTATATATGTGTACCGATATACTATGTCCATTAGTACAAAAACATCGACGTCTTAAAGACATACAATAGCGGTTAGCTTTCAAAATTTGACGTTGTATATATAAACAACGGCGGTAACTACTTTAGAAAACACGTTGTAAATACAATCCACGTCTGTTATACAAAACAAGATGACGTTGTAACATAATAACTCACGTCGGTGATTCAAAACAAGATGACGTGGTAACATAATAACATCGTTTTGTGTCCTTTTCGACGTCTAAAATGATCTAGGACGACGTTTTGTGTTGGTTAACGTCATTGAAAAGGGATCCAACGTCGGTTATGTCGTTGTCATTTCATTTTAATATGACTTTTATATTTTATTTAATTCCTAGTATTCATAATAAATTCAAAACTATTTCCAAAAAATAAACTGACAACTACCATGCACTCATTGAAATATTGTCTCTCCCCTAAAGCTCTAAAAAATATAATTTTACAAATATTTTTTTATTGTATTTAATTACTAATATTCATAATATAATATTTAAAAAAATCCGAAAAATAAACCGACAAATTTTATGCACTCATTGAGACAATATCTTGCCCGTAAAGGCCTGAAAATTTTAATTTTAGTTTTCAAAATTCAAGTGATAACAAAAGTAAAAAACAATTAGAGACAAAGCACGATAGTCCATATACTTTTCTTAACATAACCCTTGGTGCCATAAATTCAAAATTATGAAATCTAGATTTTAGCCCACTATTATAGAAGGCATTGTTGTAAGGAGTCCGTAGCAATTTTCGGTTCATTTTTCTCATACTTGTGTATTTTTTTTATAATTATTGTAAAATTTAGGGTTTAGAGTTTATTGAAACGACGCCGGTTTTCTCTCTCTGTTTTTCGTTAATTACGCAAGTTCGAATCCCAGGAAACCCAAACCCATCTTATTATTAAATATTTAAGATGTCGGTTTCTTAAAAGGCGACGTAAAAATAATTTACTACAACGTTTCCTTTATATGAAGACGTAGTTTCAGTTTACAACATCGGTTATGTACGTAAATCGTCGTCATAAGTTGAAATTAAACGTCGATATCTATGTATTTACCGTTGTCTTTGAAAAACGCGGTGCTTTGAAACGATCTAAAATTTTCAGAATTTCCCTTTAACCCTAAAATATTTCGTTCTCTCTCTTCAACATAATTTTGTCTTAAAGTTTTAGCTCTCTCAAAGCATTGGGTATATTCTCCGAGCTCTCTCTCAAGCATTTGTTATATTCTCTCAGCTCTCTCTCAATATCCATGTAAGTACAAACCCTAATCTCTTTATTTAATGATATTGCACGGCTTCTTAAATCTGTAAATGTTTTCGTTAGTTTTGGTAGCTTTGGTTTCTTAATATATGTTTTGGTAGCTATGAGTTCTCAATTAGGAGCTCCATTTGGGTTCTTTTATGTTTTGGTGTTTGCATTCTTGTAATAATTACTCTCTGTTTGGGTTCTTTTATGTTTGTTTGGACATGGGATCTTGGAAAAGGAATGGGGATGGGAGATTTAGACTTGGGTTTTTTATAAACCCCGACGACGGTTGATGGATCAAACCGTCGTCTAAATTTTTATTATACGTCGGTTGTTCATTTACTCCCGTCGTCTGATTTTTAGTTTGCATTTGGTAACCTAAAGACGAATGTTTCTCCATTAACCGTCGTCTTTGGCTACCAGAACCTAGAACTGTGTTCTTCAAAAAGCAATGCAAATTTCTGGGTTTGGGTAGCTTAAAGACAACGGTAACTAGATATGTCGTCGTCTGAATTTCTATTTCACGACGATTATTTTGTAAAAACCGTCGTCTGATTCTTGTGTTATTTTTTATTTTCAATTTTTTCTCTGCTATTTGAATATAGTAGTGTTTCATTGCTGGTCTTTTCACTTTATTATATATATGATTTTATAGTGTGTGAGATGGATAAGTCATGGATGCATGCGGATAAAAGATCGAAGGCATATGAGTTAGGGATGGAAGGATTTTTGAATTTTACTGTAGAAAATCTTGGAAATACAACTCATATTCATTGTCCATTTGTTAAATGTGGGAATATTCGATTGTTTGGGGTTGGAATTATAAGGGAACACTTATACTTTAATGGAATTGACCAAAGCTATAAGATATGGACATGGCATGGAGAACCTTGGGAATGGACTACTAATGCTAGTAGAAATGTGGAAGAAGATGAGCAAAGTAGGTTCACTTTTGTTTCTGAAGAATTAGGGATGAATGATAATGATTTAGGCGATATTGGATCTGATCCTTATGAGTTTGCCAATGTGATTGGGGATGGAGATCAACCCTTGTACCCTGGTTGCAGTAAGTACACGAAGTTGTCGGCTTTGGTGAAGTTATATAATTTGAAAGCAAAACATGGGATGAGTGATGTTTGTTTTACAGAATTATTGATACTTCAAGGATATTTGCTTCCAGAAGGAAATACACTACCTTCCTCTTTGTACGAGGCAAAAAAGACTTTGTCTACTTTAGGGATGAGTTATGAGAAAATCCACGCATGTCCCAATAACTGCATTTTGTATAGGAAGGAGTATGAAGATTCAACTAATTGTCCTACTTGTGGTACCTTAAGGTGGAAGGAAAGCAAAGATCAGTTCTTGAAAGAGGGTGTGCCAGCAAAGGTGGTGTGGTATTTTCCTCCAATTCCAAGGTTTAAAAGGATGTTTCAATCACATAAGACATCTAAGAGTTTGACTTGGCATGCAGCAAGAAAATCAGTTGACGGTCATATGTCTCATCCAACGAATTCACCGTCTTGGAACTTGTTGATGATAAATGGCCCGAGTTTGGTAAAGAGCCGAGAAACTTGAGATTGGCTCTCTCATCTGATGGATTCAATCCCCACAGTTTTTTAAGTAGCAGATAGAGTTGTTGGCCAATTATCTTAGTTACATATAATCTCCCACCATGGCTATGCATGAAGCGAAAGTTCATGATGTTGACCTTATTGATTTTTGGTCCTAAACAACCCGGAAATGATATAGAAGTCTACTTGATTGATTATTTAAAATCTCTGTGGGATGGGATTAGAGGAGTGTATGATGCACACATAGGAGAATACTTTACACTCAAAGGTGTATTACTGTGGACAATTAATGCTTTTCCTGCCTATGACGTATCTGGTTGTGTCGTTAAAGGATATAAAGCTTGTCCAATATGCGACGATGATGCACCTAGTCACAGGTTGAAAAATGGCCACAAAATTTGTTACATTGGGCATAGAAAATGGTTACCAATCATTCATCCATATAGGAGGCAACGTACAGCTTTTAATGGGAAACCTGAATATGGCACGCCACCCGAGCCATTAACAGGAGAAGAAGTGCTTCATATGGTTGAAGATATTAATTACATATGGGGCTCAAAAAATGGGGGAAGTGTTGGTGAGAATGATGGTCACAGAGTTTGTTGGAAGAAGAAATCAAAATTCTTTGATCTCGAGTATTGGAAATACCTCCCTGTGAGGCATGCCCTAGATGTTATGCACATTGAAAAGAATGTTTGCGATAGTATCATTGGTACATTACTGGAGATCCCTGGAAAAAATAAAGATGGGATTGCTACTCAGTTAGATTTATTGAACATGGGTCAAAACTGATTTGCAACCTGAGTATGGAGAAAGACATACTTGCTTGCCTCCAAGGCCTTGGAATTTGTCAAGAGCAGAGGAGAGAGGTTTGCAATTCTTTCTATGGTATGAAGGTCCCTGAAGGTTATTCTTCAAATATAAAAAATCTTGTATCTTTAAAAGATTCAAGACTTGGCCTTAAATCTCATGATTGTCATACCTTGATGCAACAATTGCTCCCTATGGCAATTCGTTCTGTTTTGGAGAAGCCTGCAAGGTATGCAATAACTCGATTATGCTTCTTCTTAAATGCTATGTGTGCAAAGACAGTAGATGTTTCCAAGCTAGATAAGTTGGAAGAAGATATAGTAGTTACTTTGTGTTTGCTTGAGAAGTACTTTCCCTCTTCATTATTTGATATCATGGTTAATTTAGTAGTACATCTTGTCAGAGAAGTTCTTCTATGTGGGCCAATATATTTTAGATGGATGTATCTGTTTGAAAGATATATGAAAGTGCTAAAGGGGTATGTTCATAATCGTACTCGTCCTGAAGGTTGCATTGCTGAGTGGTATATAGCTGAAGAAGCTGTAGAGTTTTGTACCGAGCATTTATCTGATGTTAGTACAGTTGGAGTGCCTTCAAGCCAAAAGATGGGAGTTTCAAAGACTTTATCAGGTTGCACAGTGAGCTTAGTTGATCTGGACTTGTTGAACCTAGCACATCTATATGTCTTGGAGAATATGGAGGAAGTCCTACCTTATATCGAGTAAGTATGAGTTTAATTTTTCATTTGTAGCCATTTTAAATATTATTATTCCTTATGTTTATCTTATATACAAGAGACCGTAATGCTTGATTTGTTCGTGTCAATTGTAGGGAACATATGATCCACATCAAGACCACTTATCCAAAATTTAGAAAGAGAACAAAGTGACTACAAGATAAGCGCAATAGCACTTTCATTCAATGGCTACGCTTTAAGGTATATATGTTATTGAATGACATATTGAACTTTTAATTTTCTTCCTTTCTATATGTTAGATTGAATTAAGATATATTATTTGGTGGCTTTTATTCCTCACACATCAAATAAGAAAACTTGATTTTATGGGATTTTAGTATGAAGTACATATTAACCTAATAGCTATCATTTTTAGCCTAAATCGTATTTTTCACTAAAACCGATTTTTCATATTTTGATTTGATGGGAATTTGATTTTCTAGTATTTTTATTTGAATCCAAATGGGGGTTACTTCCTTATTTACATTGTAAACTTAAGTAAATGGAGTAATATAAAAATAAATAAAAGTAAAATGACAAAGAAACTGCCACTGACTGGGCTAATATTGAAAATAAGTTAAATATATAAGTTTTATATTTTTTTTCTTAAAAAACCACACTGGGCTACAGCCCACTGTAGCCCTTAGTGTGGTTCCACCCATAGGTGAATCATCAACCTCCGTAAACCGATTACAATAATACAATATTGGAAAGTATTAGAAAATCTAAAAATTACCAAAAATACTAAAGCCAAACATAAAAGGTAACATACTGGTAGCCCAAGCTATCTCTCAAACTCTTTCAAGTTAATGTGAAGTAGCCATCATTTTACTCTTTAAAGCCTTTCGTCGCTTTTGAGACTCAGTTGGTGTTTTTACATCTGTTGCCAATCCAAGTAGTTGGAAAAATCTTATTACATACCAAGTAAAATCAATTTGCCACCATTCAAAACCTTGTCGAGCTGAGTAATCAAAAGCATGGTGATTGTTGTGCCATCCTTCTCCAAGTGCTAACAAACCCAACCACCTAAATGTACAATCGCAAAAAAATATTTAGTATCCCTCATCATGAAGAAGAATATTTAATAATACCCCAACTTCCATATTTATTCAAAATGTACCAATTGTTCCTTGACGTATCACCAGTGTGATACACTTGTTTACCCCACATGTGGCCGGCTGAATTTACTAACAAAGTACTATGGAAAACGCATACCATTCTTACCCCCTGCAATATGAAAAGGATTTTCTGTTAAATTTCAGAGATACGGGTCAACAGTCCACTACTAACAACACCGAGGCCTACACTTTTGCTATTGTATTCATATATGGTTCATGACTATTTAGTCTTTACGTCTATCAAATATTCCAACGGTTTGGTAAAAGCCACTAAGAAAACTTTAATATGATTGGAATATTTATGGCCTTTTATTTTTAAAAAGAATGCTTCTATTTCCACCCCCTATCCTATTTTCCAACCCACCTTATTTTTCCACCCACCATTTAAATTTTAAAAAAAACAAAATATTATCTTTCCACCCACCATTATTCCTAAAATACCCTTTAATTATTGACACATGGACATTCACTTAAAACTTTTTAACCCTAACTTAACATTGTTGAGTCCAAAATTTGTTTTAAAACAAATTAGAAATTGAAGTTTTGAAGAATGTTGAATATGTGGCTGGTGGTGAGGTGAGGAGGGGAGGTCGGTTCGTGTTGTCGGGTGGGTGGTCTGGTGGTTGTTTGCTGGCTTTTTTATTTTTTCCTTCTAATTTTTTGTTTTTGTTTTTATTTTTATTTTTTTTGACCTAACAGTGTTAACTTAGAGTAAAGTGAGTGTCCAGGTGTCAACAATTAGCTAAGGGATAGAGAAGTCAGTTTACAAAGGGGTAAATTAGTCTTTAAAGTTTTGAAGATAAGGTGAGTGAGGAAATAGGATAAGTGGGTTGAAATAGCAGCACTCTTTAAAAATAAATAAATAAAGAAGACAAGAAGAAATCTCACCATCCCCCACACCAAGAAGGGAACTCCACCGGCGGCATAGAGTAAACTTCCAAGTAGAACAATTGAATGCAGAAGATAAGTACGATGAAGAAACCTATAGAAGGCTTGCCTTTTCAAATCTTCAACGTTCTTCAGTCCTCCATACTGCAAAAGTTTCCATTTAGAACTGGAACAAAATTATAGTGTAAGCAAATATATTTGTTCTAGAAAGAGAGAGAGTTGGGTTTGGTATTTTTACTTTTCCAAACCGAGAGCCGCTATCGAGGATCCAACCCATGTGACTAAACCAAAATCCTTGACGAGGGCTATGAACATCTTTCTCAGTATCAGTAAACTGGTGATGATATCGGTGTGAGCTCACCCATTCTATTGGACTTCCCTGCAAAACCAAACAAGCAAAATACAAACCCGTACTTCTTATGTTTTTTTTCTTTCTTTTTTTGATACAAGAGATAATGTACTTTAATCTAATCTAAATTACAAGAAGAGAGATTTGAACTCGGGTACAGAGTGGGGAGCACATCAGTTATAGCCAACATGTACTTCTCATGTATTTAGAATAATCAATGTACTGCTTATACAAATCAGAAAAAAAAAAAGCCAAAAAAAAGTGGCAAAATTTGCTCCACGTTAAAATTCACATACCTGAAGTGAGAGAACCCCGAAGTAAGCAAACAAGTACTCGAGCCATTTCGGCATACGAAAACTCTTGTGAGCAAGATTTCTATGGAAAGACAAAGTCACTCCTAAACCCGTCACAAGATAGAGAGCACAGGCCAGCCAAAAGGCAGGCCACGTGAAATGAAATGGCGCCATCGCACAAAGACAATGCAGAATGAAAAACACAACTGCAGTGGCTATGTCTAGTAAATTCCATTTCCTTCCCCAAAATTCCAGGCAGGGCCTCATCACAATATTAACCAGAAGCCCCATCGATCCTCTTTCTAATATCTGCACAAGTGGTAAACTAGATGTAGAAGCTTATTTATACCAACTCTAAATAATGGACGTACGTTATTAACTAATACAGCTTTTGTGTATAGAAAAAGTTGGTAGCTTGTTCCGTACAGTGAAGTAATTTAACTAATACAGCTTCTTTTGTCAGGATAGGGTAGGTAACTGTTGAACCAATTTAATACCTCACTTTTGACCATTATTAGGAACTGTGTTGTTGGTGGATTTGAAAAAGGATTTAACTACACTGTTTAAATGAATATGAGAAATTAGATGGGTGAATTAGTGACACCATGTGTCGCGGTATTAGGATCATACTGGAAATTATAACTTATGTGTCGATATTTAATTTATCTTCTACTTAATACTAGTGTCACTAGACCAAGCACATTAGTTGGTAATAAAAAGTTAATATAATAGTTGGTGCTTCCTACTAATTTAACATACATTTTTAAGAAGTCCATAAATTTATAGGAGTATTTAGTGAGGGTTTAAAATATATATATATAAAGAATCTTACCAAAAGAAAAAAGTATATATAGAGAAATCTTTGTTGAATATAAAAACTTAAGGAATTTATAAAATGGTAGGTTTTATGGAGTTTAGAAAAAAATTTACCGTACCTACAAAAACCATTGAAATATCTCTACATTTCTCTCCATCGGTCTCATTCATATTCTTGACTTCTCCTATATTTACTACTAACACATAGGCCGATTGAAATTAAAAAAATATGTAGGTTATACGTCAGGCTTCGTAATCTGATACTTGAAAAATTAGGAATTAGATTGATCATTGGGTAGTTGATCCAAAATTCTAATTCCTTATCTCCCTCCCCCTATTCATAACTTCGCTCATTCCAAGTAGTTGAAGAAGTCATTAGATCATCATAATCAACATCACCTTTGCTGTACTTACATCATATTTCAAATCTAGCATGCATTGTACATTAGCCAACATGGAATTTTATCATTAGAGCATCCACAATGGTTGTTTAATAGTTCAATAAATTGATCTTTTTTTACATCTATTGAATTGAACTATAGTTTTACTTGCAATGGTACAATTCAATAGCTTAAGATAAATAGTTATATCTACTTACACGTTTTTTAACATACTCAAATAAAATAAAAGTGATAAATTTAATAACACTATGGTACCATTGCAATATTCTCAAAGAGATCTTTAAAAAGAGACTAGTACATTTTGAATATATTTGAAAAAATATATATTAATTGATGTATTTTTTTCTATCGCATTGAACTATTGAACAACTATTGCGGATGTTCTTAACAACATAATGCATTAATTGCTGTATTTTTTAATATTTTTTATTGGCATATTGGTCCCACGGTTAGCCTATTGCAATTGCAATAGAGGGTTCATCACATAGCACCCTCTAGTGCAAGTGAAATTTAACTGTTTTAGTTCAATTTTATGCAATAAAATTCATCGATCCTAATCTTTGCAGATGCTTTTATATATTATTCCATCTTTTAAATTTTCTTCATTTTGAAATTTCATATACCATCAAAGTTTCTCATCCAAACGCATTTTCAATAGCTTGCCGTTGACTGGTTGTGTAGTCTCGGTGTGTCTTTGGCCTCTCTTTGGTCTTTGTTTATGAAAGTTCATCTTTACCAAAACAAAAAGTAAGAGATGAAACATTGAAAAGAATATTTCAACTAGATATTTTCCAGGCAAGTAAAGCAGGAATTATCAACCAAAGAGAGTAAATGTCAATCATGCCATTTTGAAATTATTTAAAAAGGTTATTTTACAATCACCTACCTATCAAACGAACTACTTGGAAAAATAAATTTTATTAAATGCTAGACATAATACAAATTGAATGACCTGTTTTGGACAATGACCTAAGAAGTACCATCACCCAAGTTTTTTTTGTTTTTTTGTTTTTTTTGTGTCAAGAACACTTTCATTCCAACCAAAAGAGAAGTACAATACAGAGCAAGGCTAACAATAGTAGGGGTGGGTGCGGTCTGGTCCAATTCGATTTTCACCTCACACTGAAATTAAAATTAGTATTATCAACCAGTGCGGTTCGGTCCGATTTTGGTAAAAAAATTTATAAAACCGATTCCGGTGCAGATTTTGATTTTTCAGTTTTCATACCATATATTTTTTTATATATTTTTCAAATTTACAAATTCCAACTAAAATTGTATTTTGTGGGCTTAAAAATTCACAAATGATCTAATTTCATGCAAAGAGAGATGATTGGGTTTAGAAAAGAAGGTGCTTAAAAGTTGAACTTGGGGAAATATTAGTTATGAGATTAAAAATTTAGCATTGGAATTAAATAACTTTTTTTTAAATAAAAAAAATTCAGCTCGTTTGGTCCGGTCCGGTGCGGTTTTGTAAAGTGTGAAATTGGCACTAGAATCGATTTAAATCGGTCCGATCCATTTCGGTGCTTGTTTGTTGACTTTTTAGTCAACATGGTATCTTTCCCGTTTTTTCCATCCTGTGTAGCTTGGTGTTCCGGTTTTTCAGTCTAGATACCCACCCATGACCAACAGCCACAAACAGACAACAACAAGGCTACCAACAGCCACAACAGAAAAAATCACAATTGTAATAATTTCTCCAGTTAGAAAAATGATTCATTTCTGGGGTGGGAGTGCACCGTAAATTTCTGAGGTATGACAAATTTTCAAGGCCGTCACATTAGGGCTGGAGTGTAAACGTGTGAAAGTGCTATTTTTTGTTAGCCGCTTGATCCTTTATTTCTTTTGGTAGAGTCTCCATTAATGGTTTTATGTTCAAGATTTAGCTCAATCATTAAATCGCATGTCCATTTTTAAATTATTTTTTTTTGGTTTTCCAACATATTTATGGCAATTATAGCACGTCTGAATTTATTTTTGGCCACCTTTTTGTTATTTTTATTGCGGGTTCATTATTTCTTTTTCTTTTTTCGTACCAATGGAGTGTTTAGTTAAATTGACTCAGGCCTTTTGTTTAGTTAAGTGGTCTTGAACTCAAGTCTCCATGGTACCTATGTGTGTGAGTTTCCCCCTTCTTTATTTTTTCTTGAGAATGACAATTGTAATAGGTATGGATCTTATATGGTCCTTTTTATTTTTTTGGTTGTCAAAGGGTTATCTGCTTATGGTTGAGTAGCTACACAAGTATTTATATGGTCGTCTTCATAACCGTGAAGCAGCTTGGAAATTAAATACAGACATTAATACCAGACAGGGCTGTCAGGTACATGTTATGATTCTAAAAAGTTTGGTTGGTGAGATTTATTACCTACAATACAATATTGGCTTTATATTAGCTGATTTTCCATACAGCAGCACCGCTGATTTTTTTTCCTCCTTCGAAAAGATGTGAAATGTTGGTAAAGTTTCATTTATGATCTGAATTTTCTTTTCCTGAGTAAGTATAAGGTAGGTTCAAAAAATAATGTGATGGCGGAAAGAGCACATGCCCAATTAATTATATCATAAGGGTCCCGATACCTAGGCCTGTAAGAGAGCACATGCACTCATAGTCTGTAAAAGCTCCTCCCTGGAGTCTTCAATATAGATAATGAGAAAGGGGAGGGAGGTTTTCTCACACACATTGGTAAAGTGCCACCAGATTTGAACTTGACTGATTTTCAAATCAAGGTCCTATTCACTGGGAGCTAGAGCAGAAAAATAACAACTAGACTATGAAGTGCATTACACTTAAGAACCGTTAAAGCACGTGGGTGTACTACTACAAAAAACGAAATAGACGACGGGAATCCACCGTCGTGTATCATGTTTTAAAACCGATGTGAAATCGACCGCCGTCTTTTAACACATAAAATAACGACGGCAAATAACCGACGTGGTTAATATATTACATGTCATAAAAAAAACTAAAACCGACGTCTATTTCATACATAAAAGCATAAAAAGACAACATTCGACTATATTAGACGACGATTTTAGTAAAACACAAACGTTTAAATAATGTTAAATGTCAAAAACAATTACAAACCCGATGTAAATATTTTTATCAACGTCTCTAATTAAAACAAAACCGACGTGTAAAATGTAAAAACCGTCGTGGTTAATAAATACTACGTTCACTAAATAAAAAAACTGACGTCTAAAACATATAACATGGTAAATTAGACGTCACTGTTGTCAAAAAAAGTGACGTCTTAAAGATTTAACATGGCATATATTTACTTGGACTGACGTAAAAAAGAAATAACCACGACCCTTTAGGTCACCACAGACGTTGAAAATTATTTTGACGGCTTTAACAGAGAAATAAATGACGTGGATTTAATATTACACGTCGGTTAATTAAAATAATTGTCATGTTTAATCCATTTACTATGGCCTAGGAGTCACATTTTAGGACGTTGTTAGTAATTTACAACGTCGGTGTTTATAGACTTTGACGTGGGTGGCATTTTAAAAGTCTCTTTTGTGAGCCACTTAGACGTGTGTAATCTCTGAGACGTCATCGCTTTTAGCCTAACCGTCGTTAAGAAGTAACGAAACGCCTTGAATTATGGATTTGACGTCGGTTATTGTAAAATGAAGGTCGTGGTTATGCTTTACTATGTCCCAAGAATTCAATTCTTCGACGTTGTTATATCCTTACTACATTGGTTATTTATTTATTCCATGACGTGGTTAGTCTTTGTTAAGTCTCTTTTATAACCTTTTTTGACATGTGTATTCTTCGAGACGTCAATAGTTTAATTATAACTGACGTGCAACAATGTTTTTACGACGTTAATCATCAATTGATTATATCCGTAAATTCGTCAGTTTGAGCTCTGTCGTCGTGTTATACTTTATTGTTTGTCGTTGATTATTTTATTTACCTTCGTTGTTTTAAATATTTATTAACCGTTTTGAAATTAATTTTAATTAACCGACGTGTTTTCTTTTTCAAATGACGATTTTTATTTCATTTTTGTGTTGTCATTCCACGTCGGTTGTGAAACCCCGACGTTGGTTGTTTTGTAGACGTCGCTTTTTGCGATTTTTGTAACTTGACCGTCG